CTGGCCAGGGATGTCAAGGGCAACAAGAAGAGCTTCTGTAGGTACATCAGTGATAAAAGGAAGACTAGGGAAAATGTGAGCCCTCTCCGGAAGGACACAGAAGACCTGGTTACCTGGGACATGGAGAAGGCTGAAGCACTCAATGACTTTTTTTGCCTCAGTCTTCACTGGCAAGTGCACCAGCCACACCAACCAAGTCACAGAAGGCAAAGGCAGGGACTGGGAGAATGAAGAACAACCTACTGTAAGAGAAGATCAGGTTCGAGACTATCTAAGGAACCTGAAGGTGCACAGGTCCATGGGTCCTGATGAGACGCATGCGTGGGTCCTGAGGGAACTGGTGGATGAAGTTGCTAAGCCACTCTCCATCATATTTGAGAAGTTGTGGCAGTCCAGGGAAGTACCCACTGACTGGAAAAGGGGAAACATGACCCCTACTTTTAAAAAGGGAAAAAAGGAATACCTGGGGAACTACAGTCCAGTCAGTCTCACTTCTGTGCCCAGCAAGATCATGGAGTGGATCCTCCTGGAAACTATGCTAAGGCACATGGAAAATAAGGAGGTGACTGATGACAGCCAACATGGCTTCACTAAGTGCAAATCGTGCCTGACAACCTTCTACGATGGGATTACATCATTGGTGGATAAGGGAAGGACTTGTGCAAAGCACACTTACCTGCATGACATCCTTGTCTCTAAATTGGAGAGACATGGATTTGATGAAAGGACCACTCTGCGGATAAGGAATTGGCTGGATGGTTGCACTCAAAGAGTTGCAGTCAATGGCTCGATGTCCAAGTGGAGAGCAGTGACGAGTGGCGTTCTTCAGGGGTTGGTATTGGGACCAGCGCTGTTTAACATCTTTGTTGGTGACACGGACAGCAGGATTGAGTGCACCCTCAGCAAGTTTGCCGACAACACCAAGCTGGAGGGAAGGGATGCCATCCAGAGGGACCTCAGCAGGCCTGAGAGGTGGGCCTGTGCAAACCTCTGGAAGTTCAACAAGGCCAAGTGCAAGGTCCTGCACATGAGTCAGGGCAATCCCAAGCACAAATACAGGCTGGGCAATGAGTGGATTGAGAGCAGCCCTGGGGAGAAGGACTTGGGGGTGCTGGTTGATGAGAAGCTCACCATGACCATATCCTGGGCTGCATCAAAAGAAGCGTGATCAGCAGGTTGAGGGAGGTGATTCTCCCCCTCTACTCCGCTCTTGTGAGACTCCACCTGGAGTACTGTGTTCAGATCTGAGGCCCCTAACATAAGAAGGACATGGATCTGTTGGAGTGAGTCCAGAGGAGGGCCATGAAGATGGTCAGAAGGCTGGAGCACCTCTCCTGTGAAGACAGGCTGAGAGAGTTGGGGCTGTTCAGCCTGGAGAAGAGAAGGCTCTGGGGAGACCTTATAACAGCCTTCCAGTACCTAAAGGGGGCTTATAAGAAAGATGGGGACAAACATTTTAGCAGGGCCTGTTGTGGTAGGCCAAGGGTAAAGGTTTTAAACTAAAAGAGAGTAGATTTAGATTAGATGTAGGGAAGACATTCTTCACTATGAGGGTGGTGAGGCACTGGAACAGGTTGCCCAGAGAGGCTATGGATGCCCCACCCCTGGCAGTGTTCAAGGCCAGGTTGGATGGGGCTTTGAGCGACCTGGTCTAGTGGAAGGTGTCCCTGCCCATGGCAGGGGGGTTGGAACTAAATGATATTTAAGGCCCCTTCCAACCTAAACCATTCTATGAATCTTTGTAGAATGTAGAATGTAATTGGGTTAAGATTTAACTTCTTGCCAAGTTTTTCAGGTCTCCTTTCTGATATCAAAACAACTATCTCTGTATTAAGTGTGCATACATTTAATTGTATAAAACCAAAATTCAGAACTATCAGTCTACACACCCATCCATGCATGTG